TCCAGTATATTACCACAGTCAAAACTCACTTTAATTCTTTCAAAATCCGTTCATGTTTTTTAATACAGTTCATGTTTTTAATAAAACAGAAAATTACCGTTTGGCGGTCACGCGCGAACACTTTAGCTGCGAACAGGTATATATTCTGGGAAGGAAACTTTGTGTAAACGTATTACATACATGTAGCTCCCAGAAGAATAAAATCACCATTTTTTCAAGTAAAACGGTCTTTCTTATAGAGAGTTTTTGCACTAAACTCGGATGGATTTTAAAAAAAAAATTAAAAAAATTGGCGGTCGGGGACTTTTATCAGGTCGGGCGGGGACGCTAAACAAGTAATTTTTTTTATGTGGCCTTATGTTAAGTTTATCAAATGGCATGTGAAGCGGCGCCTTTTGACTGCAGCGATCGAAATTTGATCCGTTAATTTCATAATGATCAAAATAGGGTTTATTCGTTAGTATACATCGGCGTATAAAACATATCTGTTTGTTCAAACTAAACTTTGCGTTTAATAGCGAAGCATACTTACTATGCGCCATGGCAAACCACTTACTCTGCGCCATGGCAAATTCCATAATGGGGCTAAAGGCCCGTTTACACGGGCGATTTTTGCTGCGATTTTAGGGCGATTTTCTTCTTCTGATGGATGTGAAGGAGTGGATGAGTTATAAATGTTCCAGGTTATGAAATTTCATAACAACGTCATTAAGTAATCTACTCCTTCATATCCTCCAAAAGGAGAAAATAGCAACTAAAATCGCAGCAACAATCGTCCGTGTAAACGGGCCTTAATTAAAACATTGACATTGGGCTATAGCAAGTTAATTGTGATACGCATGTGTAATGGTAAGTATTTGATTCTGTTGCTAAAAATTTGCAAACAAACATTTTTTCGACCCTCGCCATTCTACCCTCGCCCTCAACCTATGACCCTCGACCATTAGTCAAACCATAGATAATAAAATACATGGATAGGAAACTAGCTGACGTGACCTAATGTTTTCAATGGGATGATGGCGTTGCAACCTAGTTGCAAACCAAATTCTCAAAAACGGCATGTTTAGCGATAATACAGCGCTAAACATTTTAGCCGTCAAAGAGCAAATAAACATGACTAAGCCATTCTACGATGAAATCTTTAAGTATTCCCGGTCAATTTTAGCAAATATTTCAAGCACTAAACACTGAAAAATGCATCGCAAATTTCGTAAAAATTGCCGACGCCAATTTCGTAGCTACAAATGTTAAAAAATACAAAACAAAGACGAAAAACACTTACCTTGAATACTTTGTCGTGGCTTAGGCATGTTTTTAAAACAATTAGACCAGTTTATGCTTCAATATTACTCTTTTGAAGCGGAAAATATAGCGAAACAACAAAAATGCTGAAAATTTTCGCAATACACATGACGTCACAGATTGCAACTAGGTTTAGACTGTGACGTCAGGAAGTTTCCTATACAGTTATTTTACAATCCATGGTCAAACTCAAGCAATTGGCAATAGATTGTTATGAAACTTATACATAAACACTACATTATGAAGGGTGACTAGATCATATAACTTGACGATATTCAATTGTTTGAAAAGTGGACTAGAATGTTCGTCAAAATTTGAAAAAGTCATTATTCGTATAGCTTTCTTTTGAAGAATGAACAAAGGCTGAAGAGTAATATTATATGTATTACCCCATGAGATTATTCCATAAATTAGGAACGGATAAATCAAAGCATAATATAGTTTAATTAAAATATGCAAACCTACATAATATCGAAGTTTAGAAAGTATACCAACATTTCTCTTAACTATTTTAACAGAGCCGTAGCAACCGGGGGGCTGGGGGGCTGCAGCCCCCCCCCCCAATAATTTGCTAATAATCATTCTTTTTTCAAAATCATGCAAACTTTATCATTTAATCTGTAACAAACTGCAAAGAATGAAGATATTACTCATACTCCAGATCGTTCCTCGCGTAGAAATTTTAGCTGAATTTCTGTAGCGCATTTTCAAGAAAATCCCACAAAATCTGCACATTTTTGATGAACTAATAATTTATTTTGTCTTTTGCGTGTTGGGTCTTGCGAAAGAAAACTCTGAAAATGCCATTTCAGACCATCTAGAGACTCCAGATTTTCGAAATTTTCTCAAATGTTCTGCCTTCATTTCCGCGCAACTGCCATTTACGACGAAAATTCCCGCCGCGCATTTATAATGCTGCAGTCTGGCCCATACTTTCCTGTAAATTTCGACATACTAAAACGCTGTTTTCTGACTATCAGAATTCTGTTAAATCTTCCCCCAAAGTCCAGAAAATGGCATTTTAGAGACTCTAAATTTAAAAATTTCCTCGGGCCTTCGGCCCTCGCTTTCAGCCCCCCCAATCGAAAAGAGCTTCCTACGGCCCTGTTTAACAATATTATTTACTTGATTTCTCCAAGTTAAATTGGAATCTATCAAAATTCCCACATATTTAATGAAGTACTCCCGCCTTAATTAATTTGTGATTAAAAATAAATAGTTCAAAATTGGCTGGTAACTTTCGTTGTGGAGGGTGAAAAACGACAAAACTTGATTTTTCAACATTTAATGAAAGCTTGTTTGTGCACAGCCAGTTGTGCACATTAACTAACTCGTTGTTTAAAGTAATTTCAAGAGCTGTCAGACTTTCATGCTTATAAAATAAATTAGCATCATCAGCAAATAAATGAAAATCCAAAAGTTCAGAACAGCATTTAAAATCATTAACATATAATAGGAACAGTAATAGACTCAGTACTGATACTTGTGGAACACCACAACCAACGGATTGTAAATCAGATGTAACATCTCCCAAGGAAACAAATTGACATATATTACTAAGATAAGAAACAAACCAGTCATTTGCTATTCCTCGAATACCGTAATATTCTCATTTTTGAATAAGGATTTCATGATTAACAGTATCGAAAGCCTTACTGAAATCCAGAAATGTACCACATGAAATATCACGACTACCAGTGGTAAATGTGCTATTAAAAAATATTTCCAACGGCTTTGATAGCACACACTTAAGCGATTTTAAAACAATCATTGGTATACTATAAGGACCAGTGGACTTGTCGCGATATTTCTTGTTCAATCTCTATGGATGTGGTAGGAAAAAGATAGAAATTGTTTGGTAAAGGTGTAGTTAAATAATCGGATGGACATTTATTCACCTTGGGAATATTAGGCTACATGTTAAATTATTTCCAATATTAGCAAAATAATTATTAAAAGCATTTGCAATAGACTTAGAATCACGTATTTCAGAATTATTTAAAATTAGTTTAGTTGCGAAAAAGAGGAGAAAAAAGAGAAAAAAGTGAAAATAAGATTTGCCGTTCTAAACAAAAGCTTTTGTGTCATTGACATTTGATGACATAAACATACAAGGAGTTTCCATTTTAGGTTTTGACACATTACTTGAAAGGAAAATCTTGAGATCACATTCCTTTATACACAATTACCTATACATGCAATTTCTTTATACACAATTACCTACAGAAAATTTTCTTACGTCCTCATGAATACCAGCTTCCAGCTTTCAGCTAACCTGTTTAAACAAAGTTTTCCAATCCAATATGTGTAAGAGACAAAAGCCCCGAAGTTCAGAAGAGATCAACTCAACTAAAATAAATATATTCCCAACTGGTGCATGCTTTTTTTCAGCAGTGAGAAGCAACAAGCTAATTGACCTGAGAAGTCCTTACCTCACGTCACTGTCAAACAACGAATATTTGACCCACATGTATCCCACATTGCATTGCGTATACCTAATGTGTAGGTTGATTGAAAATTGGGTGACGTAAGCACTTGTAAGTTTTATTAGCCGTATGTCTCAGTCGTACTTTCCGGCAAATGTCAACATTTTTGTCCTTTCAGGGAGGTTGAACATATGGCAGGACCACTGGGAGATCTTTATGCTGTCGTGGAGGGTAAAACGAAAAAAGACAAGGTAATTCTTTTATCTTTCAGAACGTTTAACTTCTATAGCTCTCAAAAAGAAATTAGTATTGTTAGATTTAGTATGGGACCTTTTGATCATACCTTCATCGTTATTAGTCTTTCATGTATGTTGTAATCATAAATATTTAACTTCCAGTTGTTTATAGAAAAGTTTGTAAATCAATTTTCTAAAACTACCTATTGTGCGCATAATTGCAGTAATGTACAATGAAGGTGGAAATTTTGTGGACACCACTCACGCGTATGGCTGCATATAGTTTTCCACACACCTGCCCTGCCCCCACACATCCTGCCCCCACACATTGCTGTATTTAGTAGCTGGTCACAAGAGGGATGGGGGGCCAGGAGGAGGAAATTAGCTGTTTATTGTAGCATACTATATGCAGCCTTTTTACAAACTTCTGGGGCTTTGGAGTTTGGTGGCGTAGTTGTTCCTTTGACTTCTGAGTTCGTAGGTTCGATTCTCGCTACGGACTCGTGTGTCAACGCTCTGTCAAAAGTCGTGGGTTTTCTCCGAGTGCTCTGGTTTCCTCTCACAGGGAAAGTTGGCAGGGTGGGTTAAGATAAACACAGTTAAGGAAGTAATATCCCAATTGTTATAAAAATAGATAGTCTAGGCTAAGTATGTAAATGGTAAGCGTAATACTTGATGCAAAGCGCATTTGATCATACCCACATGTAAATTTGCGCTATAGAAATGTCAATCGTCATCGTAGGTATTGGCATAGAGATTATAAATAACACTAGAGGAGGCATCGAGGTTAAAAATTGGGAACGCAGCTAATGGGGGGCAAATTCAAGTCCCGGATATAAAATCGTGCTCTCTTTGGCTGATTTGAAACTCGTCACCAATGGGAACACCAATACACATCCGGGACTTGAATTTGCCCCCAATAGTCGCGTTCCCTTTTTTTACTGAATTAAGATTACAATGCCTCCTCTAGTGTTATTTATAATCTCTGTGGGTATTGGCCCATGCGCGGGTAACACCATTTTAAACAGGAGTGATGTTTCTAAACTGTGGTGATTTTAAACATGCAGGAGTGATGTTTCTAAACTGTGGTGATTTTTAGTACCTGCAAGGACAGACTGTAGATAACTTTCTTCTTTGTTGATCACCTAAACAACGGAAAGCATTTGGTGTATGCTAAGTATTGAGGTAACTTTCTTGTATTTTTATTATCTAGAACGACAGAAAAGATTTAGTGTATGCGGAATTATCGGATTTCGATCCCAAAGCCAGTAACCGTGAACCACCAGCGGCCCATCATACTGATTATGCAGATATTGCACACATCCGAACAGAACCTGATAATGATTATGAAGATATACCACCTAGATCTAATGAAGGAGAATATGCCAGTATAAGAGAAGTCAATCGTTCAAATTCCATCTCAATATAATGCAATTTGTTTGATGCAGGAATATTTGCCCGTGTTACTGAGTTGAACCGAACCGCTCAAATTTCATCTGGATTTAGTTAGTGTTTGTTTGACACAGGAATATTCGCCAGTGTTACTGAACCGTTCAAGTTTCATCTCAATATAACGTTTGTTTGACGCAGGAATATTCGCCAGTGTTATTGAGTTGAATCACTCAAATCTCATCTGAATTTAGTGTTTGTGGACACCACTCACGAATATTCACCTGTGTTACTGAACTGAACCGTTTAAATTCACCGATGACAGTTGAATGTGTTTATTTGGAAGAGCAGCCAGTGAACTGAACCTAACTCAATCCCACATATAATGTAGCAACGTATCCGCAGGATCGTTCGCATTTTTATCTTGACATATACTGTCATTGGTATTTCCTCAGAAAAGGAAAAAAAAACTTGGGGTGAAATTTATTTTTTAAACTATAGACTTTGAAAAATATGAACTAAAAATATGAAGAATATATTTTGCTGCACATATTTATAGAATGCATGAAACCCAGTGTTAGGCATTACTAAAAATAAAAACCGAGCACCCTTTAATGCATTTTCATTGTTGAGATCACAGAAAACGAATCATGTAGCCTAGTTCAATTCATCGTTTTTAAACGTCATTCATTGTTGTCAAAATTGCAACCTTTATATTCATGATGGGTTTTTAAAAATCGTCCCTATAGGTGGTCTGGGGGTGAACACCGCATGATTTCGACGCTAATATTTTTATTGAAAAGTCAAACAGTGTCTATGCATACATTTCTATTTCAATTGACAGTATTATAGACTGTGTGCACACGGTAACGTTTCCGAGCGTTTTCAGCTGTAACGTTTTCAAAAAGTGTCGTTTTCAAGCCGTGTCCACACGAAAACGGAAGAAAACGACGTCTTATGACGAAAACGTTTTCACTGTTAAAATAAAAAAAAATCGTCTCAAAATCAAAATATTATATTCTTGTTTCCTGGAAGCTTAATTAGGTCTTTCATTGGTATCATTAATTCTTAAGTTAAAAACTTTAGCAACAAATAAAACAAACTATATAGCCTTTCAAGTGTACAATGATTTAGGAACGATTTAAAATGTGTTTTGCTTTCGAAGGAGCGACAGACTTCGTATCGGTGATGCTGAAACTGTTTACTTCATTATAATGAACAGAGGACATTTTAAGAAACTCGTTGACAAGTAATGACTCCATCTGGTGGAAAACAAACGGTGAAGAGAAGCCGCAAGAGATGGAATTTTTGTCGAGACAAACATTTGCTTGCCGTGAAAACGTTTCCGAGTGAACAGCTCTGTGACAGACTGACACAACAGTCAAACTGACAAAATTGGAAACGATATTTTAGAAACGCTCGGAAACGTTACCGTGTGCACGTAGTCATAGATACATTGATATTGTATAAATATTATATTCCATCTGATTTTGTATTAAATGTTTTAGAATTCAAATAGACTGTATTGTAGGTAAATTACTGATTTCGGCAACTAAGACATCAGTATATCAAATACTAGAAGCTCCGCAAACAGTAAACATTTTTCAATATTGGGGACTTGTGTAATCTACCCCTCGATAACAACTAATTCAGAAGCACCCTCAGAGATGTGAAAAACGATACTTTCTATTCCTTAGAAATACCTTAAAAACGCAGGAAGTACTTTGACAGTATTCATGCCTGTAAGATTCATACGAAGTAAAATTCGATATTTTTAATGATATAGTCTTCATGTATGAATACCGCTGAATCCCTTTTGCATTTTAAAGTTATATTTTAGATCAATCAGCGAACTTTCTAGGCCAAAAGTAAAAGTTTCGCATGCAAAACAGCCACGTTTCCAACCACACCCATGCACAAACGTTTTATGAGCATTGAAAGTAAATAGTTTTCAATCTCTTCCTTGCCAGTTGAGCCAGCAAGGGACCGATTACATGGAGCGTTTTGTCCCAGCTAACCGAGTTGTCCCAGCTAGCCGAGTTGTCCCAGCTAGCCGAGTTGTCCCAGCTAGCCGATTTGTCCCAGCTAGCCGAGTTGTCCCAGCTAACCGAGTTGTCCCAGCTAACCGAGTTGTTCCAGCTAGCCGAGTTGTCCTAGCTAACCGTGTTGTCCCAGCTAGCCGAGTTGGCCCAGCTAACCGAGTTGTCCCAGCTAGCCGAGTTGGTCCAGCTAGCCGAGTTGTCCCAGCTACCCGTGTTGTCCCAGCTAGCCAAGTTGGCCCAGCTAACCGAGTTGGCCCAGCTAGCCGAGTTGGTCCAGCTAGCCGAATTGTCCCAGCTAGCTGAGTTGTCCCAGCTAGCCGAGTTGGCCCAGCTAACCGAGTTGTCCCAGCTAGCCGAGTTGGCCCAGCTAACCGAGTTGTCCCAGCTAGCCGAGTTGGTCCAGCTAGCCGAGTTGTCCCAGCTAGCCGAGTTGGCTGGCCCAGCTAGCCGAGTTGGTCCAGCTAGCCGAGTTCGCCCAGCTAGCCGAGTTCGCCCAGTAAGCGAGTTGACTTTTGAATTACATGTACCGGGTTGGCCCGGCTAACCAGGGTGAAGTAAGCTCATTAAGATTGAAATGCTCAACAGTAGAATAATCGTTGATAGGTATTGATTCGCTTGTATTCTCGTAAAATGCAGTCGCCGCACTGTCCTAAACTTAAAAGCGTTTATTGAAGCACAAAAACAACATTCTGATGCTAGTTTGAGTTTTTAAATTTATATTTGTTCACATTTTCAAAATTAAAACCGTGCGTTTGTGACTTTTCATCTTTTTTTGCCGGAACAACTCGACAAAATGCAATTACATGGTCATGGGGAAAATGCGAAATTTTCAACTTGGCTAACCGAGTTGTCTCGGTTGTGAACAAGTGAGGTCTCGGCTAAGCGATTTGGCCCGGTTTCCCTTGTCATCGCATTATTGTTTTTAATAATATTTCAGTATTCACTATAGAAGGCGCGCTATAAATTGTCCCACCTCGGGACAACGCAGCCCATGTAATCGGCCCTATATGTGAAATTGCTGCCGAGAGCAGTGACGTAGCACACCTGCTTGCAGGTTAGATTGCGGGTGACCGAGCTATATTCGCTTGATATCTGCACTTTTGGATGTCAAGATTGTGACGTAGTCGGAAGTTTTAAAATTACATGTACATACTCCAGATTGTCTATGGGAGCGATCTGACGATCGAATACCCTGTTTGAAACTTACGAGGCCTTATATAACAATGTGCTTTCAACAAGCACTTGTTATTAAAAATAAACGCAAAATGCGTCGAATTTCGGTCGCGTTGAATGCAATTCAAACAATAGATAATGAAGCTTAATTAATCATAATTATGGATGAGGTTGATACCACAGGGGTAATGATATACCAAGGATTTAAGTCGCACCATAGTTAATAGAATAGATGGTTTGGAAACTCATTAGAATAACAATATAACTCATTATCTATGTAAGTCAGCGTTTATTCATGAAATGGTCCTTCACCGTCACGTGTGTATTGTATTTTTGCCAAATCCACCAATAGCAATTTCCAATTTACCCTATTGTTCGAATCACGGATAAGTGACTTTCCTAAAACATTGCTATTGGTTAGTTATTAACTATGATCGCACAGTGTGCCTGGGTTACTGCGGCACCCATCATGTACAGTTGCACATATACCAACGGACTTTCGCTTCACATGCACGCGTGCACAAGTCCCTTGGTATATATATATATATATATATATATATATATATATATATATATATATATATATATATATATATATATATATATATATATATATATATATATAATTGAATTTTTGCTGATATGATAATTGGTATTGATTAGGGTCATATATTTTAATGTAAAAATTCAGAATATTTTTGAGTTAATGAGGTTTATCATCTCATTATCTATTGGAGGGATTTGAATCTGTTTATACATCTCCGAGATATGTCGTTATGCGAACTCCCCTACTGGCCTACTTTCATATATCCATCTGTGTTAAAATCTCAAGCGGTCAGTGTCCGAGTGTATTATACGTACAGACAATCATTGGAGAGCTTTTTTCAATTAGACGATCATTGGAGATCCTTATCATGGAAATAGTATGGGTCTTCGTTCGGAAATAGTATGGAAATCCAATTTTCACACTAATTGCAATAGATTTTTTCTATAGTAATACCACTATTGTACTAATATATAAATGGGCGAAAAAATCTCAAATAATAATATATAAAATAATAATAATTTCCATACTATAGATATATTATAGAAATAGTATGGATATGTAATGATATCACAGAAAATCACACGAAAAAAATTCAGAAAATCACAAATATTTAAAAACCCCACAAAGAATGAGAAAAAAATCACAGATCTCGTACTCTTTTAAATAAGGAGTGTTTGCCCCTCGAGCGAGTCTGTAATTGGTGTAATTGGTGTAACTGATGTATTAATTTCATTAAGAAGTGTAGAGATTGTTTAAGTGTCTTTTATTTATGCAGAAACCCTAATGATATTTTTATCATACGACATGCTATCAAAATAAAGCTAAAACATTCCGCACATCTGACCCTGCGAAATGGTACAAAGCAATTTATAATCTGTCCGGAGTAAGTAGTCGGCATGAAGGCCTAACTGTAAACCGCTTTAGCAGAAAAATTTTAAATATCCTTTACTGAACCATGGAAAGACCGAATTACAACAAGTATTCCCCAACTAGATGAAGTTGAGTCACTTCTCAAAAACTATCCTCCCCCTCTACCTAGTATTGGCCAGATTAAGAGCGTCCTAAATCACCTTAACCACTCGAAAGCAACGGGAGCCGATGGTGTTCCAGCATGGTTACTTAAACGATTCTCTAGCGTTCTAGCGCCGATTGTTCATAACAGGGATTATTCTAAGGAAATTTTATCACTGCACAAAAGCGCAAAAAATGATAATATTTATATCAATTTAGCGACATTTTAGAAAACGTTCTGACTGCCCTGCATGAGTGCATGTATTCTGGTTCTGCAACTTGCATGTCACGAATTTCAGTATATGCAGGCAAATGACACAAAGTCACTGCTAATGAGCCCAAATCTGCATTCTGCATATTCTATTTCATGCAAAGATATACACATTTCAAATATTTTATGAATCGCATGCAAAACACCAAGTAATATTGCTCAAGATCTAGTCTTTCATACTCGTGAAATAGATTAATTATAAACTGTTGATTGTGTCACCAAACAGCGTCAAAAATCTCAAAACAAAAAGTGATTTTCTTGAACACGACTTGGTCGCTAGGAGAGAGTACCCGATCGGAATAAATATGCCACCGAAACATTTGTAAATCAATGCTTTATTGATCAAAAGGTCGGCAAACAGTAGCCGAGCTCTCAGATTGCAATAATTTTGAGTTAAGTACTTTAACCCTGTATATTCCCAGTAAAAACTGAAATGTATGTGGATTATATGCAAAGTGGCCATTTTGTCACCAATTTCTGGTACTGAACAATATCGCATTTTATCACTGCACATAATCTAATTTATCACTGCACAAATCACATTTATCACTGCACAAATTGGTTATCACTGCACCTTAGAATAATAATCCCTGGTTCATGACATCATTACGGCTAGCATTAATTAAACAGTGTAAGTATCCAAGTCATTACAAACATGGCCTGGTCACACCTGTGCCTAAAGCATACCCACCAACTGACGTCAGTAACGATTTTAGACAAATCTCTGTTTTGCCACATATTGGGAAAATCCTAGAGAGAGTACAACTACAACTCAATCAAAATGACATCATACTACGTTCCAGTCAACATGGTTTTACTAGTGGCCGCTCTACTACATCGGCTCTGATATCCATCACACAGCCATGGTTTAATGCTACAGACAATACCTGCCGTGACAAAGCAGGCATCCATGCCCTCTTTATCGACTTTAAAAAAGCCTTTGATCTAGTTGATCATAGGATCCTGTTGAATAAACTTGCATTGATGAATGTTAATAAAAGCTTCTGGTTGTGGGTCAAAAGCTTCTTATCTGGTAGAACTCAGCAGGTCAAGATAAATCAAACACTTTCATCGATCGAGGGTTGCCCAGCTGGAGTACCGCAAGGATCTGCTCTTTCGCCGACTTTATTTAATATCCACATTGACGACTTAGATACGAGTGTTCCTGAAGATCTTGAGGTGAGCACATATAAATATGCCGATGACTGCACACAAAGCGAATGCATCATGAAGGGAGAGTGTAGCAACATGTAGAAAGTCTTAGTTAGACTCCGTTCAAAACTGGTCAAACGCTAATAGAATGAAGTTGAACGCAAAGAAAACGAAAAATATGTGGATTTGCTTTGGGAAATCTATCCCACAGCCTCCCAATCTTTATATCGGGGATGTTATGATCGAAAGAGTTAATTCATTCAAGTTACTTGATGTTAGCTGTCAAAGTAACATGAAATGGAATTCTCACATCAAAGAAATTACTCGTAAGGGAAACAGGAGACTGTGTCATCTAAGGCAGTGCAGGAAGGCTCACCTTCCTACTGAAGTAGGATTGGCAACTTACTGCACCAAAATTCGTCCACTGCTTGAATATGCCGCACCAATTTGGGGTGGCCTACCTCACTATTTAGTGAACGACCTTGAGCGTATTCAAAGGAGAAGCTTACGTATTATTGGTTTACCGGTCAATACACTTCCCCCGCTTAGTGAGAGAAGAGATAAGCTAACTCTTCGAGAAATGGAGGCAATTACTCAGGACGTAAACCATCCCTGTCACCACCTAGTCCCTATCGCACAGAAGCATGACTATTCCACTAGAACTAAAGAAAGAGGTTCTAATGTAGGTCGCATTATTTCCAGAACCGAAAGACATAAATCATCGTTTATGCCTCGTGCAGTTAAACTTTTTAATAATAAACTTTAAATTACTACTGTAATAGACGGTTCTGTAATTTTAGGCTGAATTTAGGTTGCATTATTTTCTGAACTGAAGGACACAATCGTCGTCTGTACTGTGCCTTTGGCAACTGAACCTTTTTAAAAATACAAATTTTTATTGTAATATAGATGGTTTTATAATGTTTATGAATTTGTAAGTCCACCGTATTTTTTTTACTTAAGGTGGATTATTATTAAAGCTTTACATCACATGCAGTGCATGCCTCGAACTGACGTAACTAAGCAGAAATACAGGAAAAGCACTTGCATGAACGCGTCAGCGGGATCGGTTTTTCAAACAGGAAATCTATAGTATAAAATGTTCTTTTATCATATACGACAGTGTCTGCAATTGATGCAACTTTGGAACCGGTACCGGATTAAATCATTAAGAAATAAGAAATAGTGGGTATCAATCCCAGTGCATGCATGTGAGGATATTTTAATCTGGGGACGGTTGTATAAAACTCTTAACTACTTTTTAGCTATACCAATTTCGTAGTTAAAATGTTAGTTAATTCTAATATACGCGATTCTAATTGGTTGATTTTTCATACAACCGCCCCTGTACTATAATGCTCAGTGTAACCTGCTGCATGAATACAGTGAATGTATTAAGAAGTAAGAATTTCTTCAGGATCGACTTTTTAACAGTATGGGAAACAAACCCAACATTTATTCATCATGGGGTGCACTCGTGGTGTTCACTATATAAAAGCTTTTATGCACTGTTTACAGTCAGTGGTTCCCATAATTAGGAAGCTAGTAGCGTAATTCTGTAGCTACTTTTTACAAGAACATTGATTTGATTCAGCAAAACGCTGCTAGAAAGGTCGCTCAAGTTTGTTCTTCTTTTTATTACAATAGTTTCGCATTTTTGATATTCAGCAAAATGCAAAGTCGCCCAAGTTTTGTCAAGCATTATAATTTAAATTATCATTTGTGCTTGCCGTATATGAAAAATCAGAAGCAAAGCATTAAAACAACACAAAAAGCCGATTTAGTCTGCATTATATATTCTGGCACTTGAACCGTGCTTAATGAAGAAGTCCTTTAATTGACCACATATAACACCCCTTTCACTCCCTCATGCTCGGCATCCCTCATGCTCGGCATCCCTCATGCTCGGTTCCCTCATGCTCGATATCCCTCATGCTCGACATCCCTCATGCTCGGCATCCCTCATGCTCGGTACCCTCATGCTCGGTATCCTCATGCTCGGTATCCCTCATGCTCGGCATCCCTCATGCTCGGCATCCCTCATGCTCGGTACCCTCATGCTCGGTACCCTCATGCTCGGCATCCCTCATGCTCGGTACCCTCATGCTCGGTACCCTCATGCTCGGTATCCCTCGTGCTCGGCAACCCTGCTAGCAACTCATGTTGATACATCAGTAAACTTGTATTATATTAACGCGCTGATTTGATACGGAGACTTATAAATAAGAGCTCATTTGTAATGCAAATGTGAAATTTTATGTCTTGACTCTCGTGACATCTGGTGACATCCACAATTATTATAACTTGACAGATAAAATAATTTCCAGTGTTTAGAGTCACACAGCATCGGAATCAATTGATCGGTACGATAAAGCAGTTCAAGGTTTAAACTTGATTTTGAACGATAATCTCGAGAAGAAAACATCATAATTATCACAAAGAAAGGAAGTTGAATATCTTAATAAAGTCTGTAACACAATACCTTCGTTTCCTTGGACATAACAATAGAGTCAAAGTCACGTTCGTGTCTTACTAAGAAATTGTATGAGGTAAGTCAGACATAATAACGTAGTCGTTTATATGTGAGAGACAGTCCGTGCTTATCAGATTATACGAGAGTAGAGTCATTAAAAGCGTTATGCAAGACAAGGTCAATAATATATTGAAAGTTGTTTATATAAAACCAAATTGACAAATATGGTACATATTAGATAAGTTCACTTTGTGGCTTGATAGTAAGCTTGCTTGCTTTTACCTGTTTTAATTTAATTTATCTAGACTCACTAAAAATGCGAACTGAATGTTTTTCAAAAGCATGTCGTAGGAATCCGACACAACATATACAATGATTAAGTCGATGGCCATGGCCCTATTTATCTTTCCTCGTCTATAAATGTATAATAGGAAAACTTGACACTGATATGCATGCAGCATTCATTAACAGCTAGGCGTTAAAATATTGAAATTATTATTTCACCATTTTGACAATTCATCCCAGAATTTGTCAAGCCAAGATTGTGTGAATACAGTGTAAACTACATAATATATTGACTTGTATTGTTGTCGTAAATGCAAATTATTTCTGAAAGTATTCGTTTCCTCTCCATGGACATGACTACATCAACATGCTTGCAAACACATGACTACGTACATGCAACCAAAGATCAGTCTGATGAGTTGTTTATTATCAAATAGACAAAAATATTTATTTAATTTCAACACATAAAGATTAAAGGGGAGACTGATTCCTGATCACCACCCAACTGTATCTGGTAAACAATATATAATCACTATGCCCATTTTTGGATGTCAACTTCCTTATTTTGTTGCCTGACTTTCAGCTGGCAGAATGACGTTAACGATGAACTGCAGATTTTATCAAGTTGATTGAATGTTGTTTATTTACTATAGCAGATAAGAAAACATCATGTAACCAGGAACAAAGGCCTGACAAACAGTTATTTAATTTTAAAGCAAAACAAGTTCAGACCACATGGGAAAACGATGTTTCATAACTCGGATATTCCACACTGCTGAGTGCTGGTGTTTGGACGTCTTGTTGTTTTCAACTGGTTCTATACATTATACAAGTATCGATTTATAAAGCGCTCAAAAAGGAATATTATTTTTGACTTAGAAGTCAACAAAATGTGGCACAAGATCCGCGCTGACAGATCGAAGGCTTTGCAATAATAAATATACGTGATTATGTTTTCACAAGCCAAATACGAGATATATTGTTTTAACATCGGGATAGGCTGCCTTTCGTGCAATTTGATTGGTTGTCCAGCTCCAGATAGCCTTGCGAAGTGTCTTCCTGTTTTATGTCAGTTACAGACGATTTCGATGCTTTTTGCTCAGATTTGTTTTGTTGTCGTCATGTTTGTTTTGCTATAGTACCTCAGTGTCGGTGAAAAGTGCAAGGATATTCATCTCGACGCTTTCCGTCTCGTTGCAAGGGCGCTGATTCACCCCCACTTCGGTGAATAATTGTTAATTATTGCCACTCAAACTTTCAAGGAACTTCAGTAGCACAGAAAACGTGTAATTAGTATAGTAAATTACACGGTTCGAGAAGTAATATATGAAAAATCGCACGCATGTTTGGTGAAATATTTAGTTTAATGAGCAAATTTGTAGTATCACTTGAATCGCGGCTTGAAATGTTTGCGTTGTACAAGACTCAAGAGACGTGGAAATCGCGTGTAAAAAGCGTAACGACAACGTCTCGAACTCCCGTGGGGCTTATTCATTTCACGAGATCAGGAATATCATTGTGTGAATAACCGTCGTCGCCGCGAAGTCATCCCGCGAAAGACAACACGCTATTACAAGCGGTTAGACATTTTGCAACATTTCGCTAAATACACCCAAACTCTGATGTACGATTCCGTGCTCAGCTGTTGTTCCATCATTCCATGGTCAGCTGTTGTTCCATCATTCCGTGCTCAGCTGTTGTTCCATCATTCCTTGGTCAGCTTGAAAATTGTGCGATTTTCGTTTTCCGATGTTATGCTCAGTGGCGGCGCCAGGGGGGGGGGCAAATGCCCCCCCAAATTATTTTTTGCCCCCCCCATTTTGCCCCCCCTCAAAAAAAATTATTAGTCACTAAGAGCGACTAAAGGCTACACAAGCGTTCTGTCGTTATCGGAAAATGTATGGCTTATAAGTTGTCATTACTCATTAGTGAATGCGCGTATACATGAAACTGTTTTTTACAGTTTCAATATTAGTTTGTAAATCTCTGAATGGTAAAACTTGCCAATACTCCAATAATACGTTTCAAAAAAAGACAAAAAAGCTTTAGTTTTGCAGAGTTAAATTCTCAAACGTGTAAGGCAATAATAAGATGAAAGTATCACGAAATTATTTGAATAAACCACATCGCATATATGGGGGGCGAATGTCCTAAAAAGGGGCGATATTCCTAGGGTATTCGCCCCACCCCCTGGGAGGCGATATTCCTAGGATATTCGCCCCCGGGGGCAATATTCCTAGGAATATCGCCACGTTTTGAGGGGGGGGGGCGAATTTCCTGGGGGGGCGACCTTTTTAAAAATTCTATCTTGCCCCCCCAAAATTTGAGTTTGCCCCTCAAATGCCCCCCCAAATTTGGAGGCCTGGCGCCGCCACTGGTTATGCTACACAAACCTAGCCTGCGTGGCAGGCGGTTTTTTACGGGCAGCGAAAATTAGGGAGACAAAGGAAAAACCAAAGCCATTTATTTATTTCGTTGGTGGGGTTATCCCATTACTCCTCGTCAGGTAAAAAATTGGGTCTCATACTTCCTTAAAAGGTTTCCGAACTAATGCATTTCAGTTCCTACGGATAAAAATGAGTACCATGGTATAACTGGAATAACTTCAAATAGTTTGTTGCAATCCAACAGCCAGACGACGTTCTTTCGCAATCAACGGTCAGGATTATTTTTATGAGCTTATAGACGAAGCTTTAAGGCCCGCTAGAGAAACGCAGTCGTGATGTCGTTTTTAACACAACGTTCACTCACACATTAGTGATTACCTCGTAAAAATAAAGTAGGAGAGCAGCTGAATCATCAAATATTACTTTCGTTTTTACGACTAGATTTGCACAACTTATTCAATAATTATCTTTTAATTATTTTTCTTAATTCAGAAGAATGCCAATCAAGGAAGCGCTGGAATCATCGTCAGGTTATGTCGAAGATGTAGTTGGTACATTTCTTGGCCCATTTGTTGTTGTGATCGTTATGATATTTGCGTGTGTTGCTTGTCGTCGTAAACAGAGTAAGGATAGAATAATACGTACATTATTCAGCTCACTCCTCAACAGGGCTTTTCAGTCACCCATTACATCAAGTATTACGTTCACTTATATTACAATCCTAACTGTGTTTCCTAATCAACTTCCGCTGCGGGAATAAAACGGAGGAGTGCCCGAAGAAAACCTACGATTTTCGGCAGAGCATTGACGCTTTGCACATTAGAGACTATGCCACCACAAAACAACGTTTAGCCGTTGACAACAACGCGGCTCTTGATCGAAGCACCGTCTGAAAAACTGTTCGCGACGCCCAACCGCGGAAGGCCCAGGGTACGAGGTTGCAATCTCTAACAAGCCTCAAGCTTTTCCATTGCATTTCAAGTGTTTTTTATATTAAATTTTGTTGTTAATATTTCTTGTTATCGCTTATTTATACCTATAGTTATGTCTTACGATTAAAAATGGTGACAAACGCATTTTACACAATAGAATCTCGCACGTATTTGGCTTTAACTTTTGCAAAGAACCCTAAAAATTAACTGAAGCTTTTTACGCCGAAGTCTAATCCTAAAGGTTACTCTGTAAAATGTGACGATGTTGTATGCTGTAGATTGAAATTCCGAGTGTAAATTTTTATACATTTATTTGGATCTAACCAGCTGCGACAACTCTCTGGCAGGAATACGCAATTCCAACTTTTAATTTCTGCGCACAGGGAGTGACGGGAAGTAAGGTATCAAATTCCCATCTACAAAACGCATATATGCATTTACTATCGAGTGAGATGCCCCAAATCCTGATATTTACACATACACCTTACATCACCTGGGTATTTATACATGACCTTGTAGTTAGAGCTCGAGTCCTGGACTCTATAACTCTACCTATATACCTCAGTTGGTTCGATTCCTGCCTTCACTCAAATACACTCGTAATTTCAATGTACCACGCACAATCAATCAAGCGAGATGCCCAAAATCCTGATGTTTGTCACGATGTTTAATGGTAAGACATATTATTTAACTATTGCAACACTCCAAACGTTTTCTGCACAAAATTAGCGATTCAATGAAATCTTGTAAATAAGTACAGAAACATTGATCAGTATTGTTCAGACTTGAGGGAGCTTAAGATACACCAAATCTACGACGCGGACGTGACGAAAAACTGTTTAATTGTCACAGTTTCACTGTTCAGTTGGTAAACAAAGGCAGGGACACAAGGAAATTATTAGCGACTGTTTTTTAGTCGTGTCCGCGTCGTAGATTTGGTGCATCTTAAGCTCCCTAATACTAGTCTATGGTTGCAATATTGTTCAAGTTTATGAATGAAGTCAGTTTCACTCATAAGTGAGCATTCCTTTTCCCTTACATTATATTTTTGTTTACATTCTGACAGAAAAAAGCAGAAATACTCACAATGCAAGGTATAGTATAACTATTGTCTTTCTGACCGTTATATTTAGTATACACGGTAAACAAGACTTTTTATAATTCATTTGATTAGTTGTATGTTTTGATTAAATATTTTCAAACCTCTTTTTACAGTTAACCATTAACGAAATGAGAAAAACATAAATTGTTCACTGGATGTTTTATTCTTCCAATTTTTCTATTTGAAGAAGGGAAGACTCTCTATATCAATGTTACACATTTTAAAAATGTATTGCTTTATTTTTAATCAATTTTTCGACAGAATTGGGGAGTCAGAAAATGAATATCAAACACCAGATGTAACTATACAACATGGAGGTTCTAGTGGTGATACAAATGTTTATACAGTACCTGAGGTTTGTACAACTTTATAACTGGATACGGTTATAGTCACGACAAAATCTTGAAGTGTAGAAAGCCTGCAGAAATGCAAACTGTGAAGTTTGTAGATGATACAACTGGCAGGAAAGGCAGTTTTTAGACGTCCATTTTCCATCGTTGAATTTAAAACGTTGAATTTAAAGCTGCTCATTCAGTCTTCATTCGTGAGAAATTTTAAATGTTTTACTATTCGACGCATTGAATGTGATATTGTCCATGTATAGTCATCGTGCAACAAGTGACAGAAATTGACTTCTGGATTCCATCGAGTAGAATGCACAACAAGCATTAAATTCAACGAATCATATTCAACAGAAATCCGACATCTAAAAAGGCCCCAAGAAGAACTCGCTTGGAGCTCTCACTTCGCGCAAAACGTCGAAATTCTTTTGATATCAGTTTCATGTATAGGTCCACCATGCATGTACACAAGTTCGTTTCGCAGTTTAAAGTCATAGCAATCGTTCTCCATCATTATAACAGCTTCAAGCTTCCCCCTACTTGAATCAGTAAGGATGTCCAGGTAAAATAATAGTGTTGTGTGATTAGCTACACAGATGCATGGGACCAGTGTTTCATTGTCATATAAAATCAACCAATGACACAGACCTGTTCCCCGACTCTTCCACAGTCCCTCAAATTTGCTAATTCGAAAAGGCAGGCGCTTGCAGTTTGGAATGCAAAGGCCCATGGGAACGAGCCAGCCATGTTGCTATATAGCTTCGTGATGACCCATGTTTCTGTCAAGTCAATTAAAGAGAATGTAATTTCGACAAGATAATATTATTTCGATTCACTTTGAGAAAACCTGAGGAATCTAATCTAATCTATGTACTGTTTTAGCCCAACATTGTTTACACAGACTTGGATATGTTGGCGTTAAAATCTCGTGCGAGTGAAAGCAGGAAACCCAGCGAACCTCCAACACAATACGCTATTATTGATGAAGAAAAACTAAATGCAGCCAGAAAACAACGACAGGAAAGACTTTATGAAAATTCTAACATTCAAAATAATACAAAACCAGCAATTTACGATAACGTGAATGAAATGAATATCTAAGAACACATGAATGCGCTTGACTAAGGCTAAAAACTTAAATTTAAAATGGTTAAAAATCAGGAACTGTCCAGCTGGCTGTGTATGTTCGTTTTCTCAAAGGGAGAAGATCGCATTTAAAACTTTGCACTTACTTATTTAATCGCGTGTATTGTAATAGTCGAAAATGTTAGATTTTTAACTTTTTAAAGTTTAGTTTTTCCCTAGCCAAACAAATAATTTCTCAGCAGTATTTGAATGAACAATAATGCATGGTTTAGCGCGTGTATTCACAACTGTGGATAACATGTCTCAATCAAAAGCCAAGTGTAAACAGTTCGTCGACATGTCAGAAAGAAGTTGCATTATTTAGATCACGTGACATTTAGATAACGTGGCATCCAGGTCACATGTACGTAATACAGACATTGTAAATTATTACTACCATGCAGGACGCATAAACTTACGAAGAACTCTAAAGAGAATTTATGTCTGTGATATGAAAAGTAAGTGATAGCAACCTTACACGTAAAAATGTAAACAAGTAAATTTGTATAAAGGTTTTAGCATCTACATTGACTAACCGTCTTGGGGAATAAAAGTTTCTTGTAAATATATTTTTATTGGTGTAGTTGCCTCATTCTATATTCGCAGTGTTTACAACTCACGATGATGGAAAACGTATTTCATTGACACCCATAGTATAGGTTTCACCCAGCATCTGAACAAAGTTCTTTAATTTTATCATGAGTTGTTTCTAAAGATTTCTTTGTACGTTTGAATTTATTAACTCTAGCTTTGGCATTCAACTGTCGCTCAACTTTTAGTAAAATTAAATCACACTTCTGTAACACCAATTTCTCAATATACTGCGCAGTCTTCGTTTTCTTCAAGGAAATTAACAGATTTCTCTCTTTTAATCTAATTTTAACAAAATGTCGAGTATTTTCTTCGTGTTGTTCCCAGTTTTCACCAGATAACTTCACTGCTTCTTGCAAATCTTGCTTACAGACATCTTCACATAGAGCAAGGAGAGAGGCAACATTCGAATCTATGTTGTATTTCTGACATAATTCCAGGCATTCAAAACCAAGCTGTTTTAGAGCGAGAAAAGTACAGTTGATAGTTTGATAATCAACAATGAACTGCACACTCTCTAATGCTCTGCATCCCAGAGTATTATCCAAAGTTCGTTGCAAATCACGAAATGTGTAAAAATGTTTAGAATAATATCCATGCATGGCGTTGATAATTGACGAAACAAGCTGCAGCTGACATGCTGTCCTTGGTCTGACTTTCTTAAACCCTTGCATATCAATTGCAAACTGTGTAAACAAATCTGATGTATCAGAGTTATATTTTGCAAGTACTTTAGTTGTACTTTCTCCTTTAGGTAGAATATCTGACAAATCTCTTTCATGTTCAATAGCATTGACTAACTCTTGATACTTTGACAAAACCTGATTGATTTTCACTTTCAACTTCATAAGTTGATCATAATATTTCTGCACATTCTTGAGTACATCTCCTTCGTTATCCTGACGTTCTTTGATGACATTCTGAACTTGAATATGAACGGCATGACTATGACAACTGTTGCATAGCCTCAAGCACTCCCGTATTTCAGGCGGTTCAGGTGGACAGCCCGCAATATCAAGTACAGCCCAACAAGAAATACTTGAGGAGATGTCATCACAATACAACAGAAGTTCTTCACTGGAACACTCCAAACATACAGCTTCGCCACAAACTCTAAACATAATTTACCATGTCATTTATTGTCGTAGTAATACTGGAGTAGTATAATAATGCCATAGTGCGTACTATAATAATAGAACCTTCCGGAAAGTACTTACTCTTGACTATAAAGCCTCGTTTTCGGGATTGAGATATCGGCTTTCTTGTTACTGATGATCTAATTGTATCAAGGTTTTTTATATTATCTAAATATAACTACATGATTTGGAAAATACTTGGTTACCTGTAACAATATAAAGCACTCTAAACGCAGTTATCTCAAATCACGAAAACGAGGCTCTATAGCCAAGGCCGAGTACTTCCCGGAAGGGTGTATTAAGGAAATGTAAATAATTCGAAAAAGTCAATTAAACATTCTGTAGCATCATGTATTTAATATGATCTTTAAAAGTCCAATCACTTTGGCCTTCCTATTATTTTAAGAAACCATTTAAACAATAATTAGCATAGCAAAAAATACATCTCTCACGGCCTCTTGACACATGTATCACTGTGAATTTAGATGATATAACTATATTAATATCATGCTTGTGATGTTACTCCGAGGGGCAAGCTTGAAAAATATGCCTGGCCACGGTGGGAATCGAACCTACGACCTTTGGAATACTATAATACTAGCCCAAAGCTCTGCCAACGTAGGTTCGATTCCCACCGTGCCCAGGGCTTATTTTTCAAGCTTGCCCGGTGTGGATACACACTCAGAGTAACATCACAAGCATCATATTCACCTGAGTACATTACACCAACACTGAAAAAATCATTATATTAATATCATTTTATAGTCAATTTACTCGATTCTGATTGATTAAAAACTGTGCGGATTCAACATTACAGCAAAATTGTGCTGATTAAGGGTTAACGCACTTGCGTATTGCCAAACATGCGTCATTCATACTTCTCGAACCGTGTAATTTCCCATACAAACTAACTAGTTCGTGAATACAGTCTTACCTGCAATGATGAGCAGGACGTATGAGGTTGAATTTCTTCGTACAAAGATAGCAACACCGTGCGTTCTTCTAAAATGAAAACAAACACTTAAATCTTTACAATCACACGTTTACCTACGACCAGGAAGATGTGGGATACAATATCTGGAAAATGTAGTTATCTTTGCAATCTGTGCCGGGTACATGATAGTTTCAGCTTCGGAATAACTTTCATTTTATTTCAGTCATATCATTTTAAGGAAGTAAGAATCTGTATACAGCTAAACCTCACACACCAAAAATAACCAGTCTGGAGATGATAGAAAGTAAAGTCAGTAGTTAACCGGGTTGTAAATGAGAGAAATAGCGAGCAATTTCAGCACACCTACCAATCCATCCTTTGGTATTTGCCATAAGGGTACAGTAACCGGAGATTTGACCAGATCCACGACACTTGATTTTTCTCCATTTACATGTTCCTGATATTTACATGTTAACCTGGCCAGTCTACGTGATATAATGGAAGTTACATCTCCATCTACAAAATCACTTAAACTTCTCTTGTTGTTTTGAGACATAAAGCCTTTGAATTCCGCCATACGTGATCGAGTCTTGCCAAACAATTGCCCTTCTCTGTTGAAACACTGAATACAAACCTACAATACATCAACCATGTTGTTATTAAGCGAAGAAGAAAAAATAATGTCAAAAATTGAGCCACGATTTAATTTCGAAAAGTACACTTTTGTTATTAAAATCTACCGTCAAAAGAGAAAACACTTGGCTCTTCCCCAGTTTGATAACGTTATTTATTTTTAGATTTGTTTGTAAAAAAAGAGAAAACAATACATGTATTGCAATTGCAAACAGCTTTGGCTGTAAATGCTTAATTAATTCATCAAAGTGAAAGGCTTTAACCACAAATTTTAAAATTACTACAATTTGCAACTAATTTAAAGGATTTTCAAATTTGGCAATATAAAAGATTATTAAAATATTTCCACAGTTTATGGCCAAGTTCTGGCATGATTTACGATCACGAGGTAGTACAAAACCTTTACCTTGTAAAGAAGTCCGTCAGGATCTCGTTGAGCAAGTAATGACAATCTTTGTGTGTATGAAGTACATGTATCACAAAATATTTCACCACATCTAGAAGACAGTATGTCAAAGATTTAATATATTGACAACTATAACTAAATGAAGGGCTAACTTAATTTTTTATAAATAAACTTTCATGAAATATCAGCGATGAAACAGTAAATTAGGTCGGTTTTTTAAATTTAATTGATAGGAGCGTAAACATTTCATACAATACAGATTTTACTTAACTTAATATTTATTTCTAGGCTGTTCATCGTGGCATGTTCTGAGTATACAATAATCTTGCCAGGGTATTATCAAGATCTTGAAAGATCATGGCAAGATCTCAGCAAGACTGTAAAAGGATCAATCCTCAAACTTTCCTTTTTAGCCTTAACGATTGCAATGATTTATTCATTAACCACAGGTAATAATGATGCCCAATAACTGGATACATTTTTGGCAAGAATGTATGACAAGATCATTGTAGAATCATGACATGACCTTGAAATCTTGGCAAGAGTGTAGAACAAGATCTTCGTAAAGTAGAATATGGCAGAACCTTCGTGAAATCTTGGCAAGAGTGTAGGACAAGATCATGGTACAGTAGAATCATGGCAGGACCTTCGTGAAATCTTGGCAAGAGTGTAGAACAAGATCATGGCACAGTAGAATCATGGCAGTCTTGATGAAATCTTAGCAAAAGTGTAGAACAAGATCATGGTAAAGTAGAATCATGGCAGGACCTTGGTGAAATCTTGGCAAGAGTGTAGAACAAGATCATGGCACAGTAGAATCATGGCAGTCTTGATGAAATCTTAGCAAAAGTGTAGAACAAGATCATGGTAAAGTAGAATCATGGCAGGACCTTGGTGAAATCTTGGCAAGAGTGTAGAACAAGATCATGGCACAGTAGAATCATGGCAGTCTTGATGAAATCTTAGCAAAAGTGTAGAACAAGATCATGGTAAAGTAGAATCATGGCAGGACCTTGGTGAAATCTTGGCAAGAGTGTAGAACAAGATCATGGCACAGTAGAATCATGGCAGTCTTGATGAAATCTTAGCAAAAGTGTAGAACAAGATCATGGTAAAGTAGAATCATGGCAGGACCTTGGTGAAATCTTGGCAAGAGTGTAGAACAAGATCATGGCACAGTAGAATCATGGCAGTCTTGATGAAATCTTAGCAAAAGTGTAGAACAAGATCATGGTAAAGTAGAATCATGGCAGGACCTTGGTGAAATCTTGGCAAGAGTGTAGAACAAGATCATGGCACAGTAGAATCATGGCAGTCTTGATGAAATCTTAGCAAAAGTGTAGAACAAGATCATGGTAAAGTAGAATCATGGCAGTCTTGATAAAATCTTAGCAAGAGTGTAGAACAAGATCATGGTCCAGTAGAATCATGACAGGCTTGGTGAAATCTTGGCAAGAGTGTATAACAAGATCATGGTACAGTAGAATCATGGCAGTCTTGATAAATCTTAGCAAGAGTGTAGAACAAGATCATGATAAAGTAGAATCATGGCAGTCTTGGTGAAATCTTAGCAAGAGTGTAGATTAACAAGATCATGGTACAGTAGAATCATGGCAGTCTTGATAAAATCTTAGCAAGAGTGTAGAACAAGATCATGATAAAGTAGAATCATGGCAGTCTTGGTGAAATCTTAGCAAGAGTGTAGAACAAGATCATGATAAAGTAGAATCATGGTAGTCTTGGTGAAATCTTAGCAAGAGTGTAGATTAACAAGATCATGGTACAGTAGAATCATGGCAGTCTTGATAAAATCTTAGCAAGAGTGTAGAACAAGATCATGATAAAGTAGAATCATGGTAGTCTTGGTGAAATCTTAGCAAGAGTGTAGAACAAGATCATGGTACAGTAGAATCATGGTAGTCTTGGTGAAATCTTAGCAAGAGTGTAGAACAAGATCATGATAAAGTAGAATCATGGTAGTCTTGGTGAAATCTTAGCAAGAGTGTAGAACAAGATCATGGTACAGTAGAATCATGGTAGTCTTGGTGAAATCTTAGCAAGAGTGTAGAACAAGATCATGATAAAGTAGAATCATGGTAGTCTTGGTGAAATCTTAGCAAGAGTGTAGATTAACAAGATCATGGTACAGTAGAATCATGGCAGTCTTGATAAAATCTTAGCAAGAGTGTAGAACAAGATCATGATAAAGTAGAATCATGGTAGTCTTGGTGAAATCTTAGCAAGAGTGTAGAACAAGATCATGGTACAGTAGAATCATGGTAGTCTTGGTGAAATCTTAGCAAGAGTGTAGAACAAGATCATGATAAAGTAGAATCATGGTAGTCTTGGTGAAATCTTAGCAAGAGTGTAGAACAAGATCATGGTACAGTAGAATCACGGCAGTCTTGATAAAATCTTAGCAAGAGTGTAGAACAAGATCATGATAAAGTAGAATCATGGTAGTCTTGATAAAATCTTAGCAAGAGTGTAGAACAAGATCATGGTACAGTAGAATCATGGCAGTCTTGGTGAAATTTTGGCAAGAGTGTAGAACAAGACCATGGGACAGTAGAATCATGGCAGGACCTTGGTGAAGTCTTGGCAAGAGTGTAGATTAACAAGATCATGGTAAAGTAGAATCATGGCAGGACCTTGGTGAAATCTTGGCAAGAGTGTAGATTAACAAGATCATGGTAAAGTAGAATCATGGCAGGACCTTGGTGAAATCTTGGCGAGAGGGCAGAACAAGATCATGGTACAGTAGAATCATGGTAGTCTTGATAAAATCTTAGCAAGAGTGTAGAACAAGATCATGGTACAGTAGAATCATGGCAGGACCTTGGTGAAATCTTGGCAAGAGTGTAGATTAACAAGATCATGGGAAAGTAGAATCATGGCAGGACCTTGGTGAAGTCTTGGAAAGAGTGTAGATTAACAAGATCATGGTAAAGTAGAATCATGGCAGGACCTTGGTGAAGTCTTGGCAAGAGTGTAGATTAACAAGGTCATGGTAAAGTAGAATCATGGCAGGACCTTGGTGAAATCTTGGCAAGAGTGCAGAACAAAATCATGGTACAGTAGAATCATGGCAGTCTTGGTGAAATCTTGGCAAGACTTATAATAATAATAACACTTTATTTAATAAGGACTAAAGGCCCGGTTACACTACACTACACAACGATACGATAACTTGTAAACACGCGATAATTGGCAAAAAAATTATGGTGGTGTCCACACTACAACGAAAATGATGAAATTATCGTTTGATGATAATGATTTCAAAAACGCTCACCCGAGCATTTTATTTTTAGTCGGACGATAACGATAATTTTCCGACCAATCAGCGCGCGTATACAAGTTATCGTTTCGTTGTGTACTGTGACCGGGCCTTAACAGATAAAGTTACCACTTGTTTGCAATCTGGTCCTCTAAAATTACGTTAATACATTGTTTACATGCAGGCATTACAGACATTAACTGACATACATTACAATCACACACTATTGAACCTATACCTATCAACAAATATTATCTAGAATTAATTAAAAAATAAAGTTCTTAATATAATCTTTGAATATTTAGTTGAGTTGACCTAGCTAATTTGTTCTGATAGTGTTCTTTACAGAACTTTTGAAAGGCTGTACGTGAGGTGAGTTTCTTTGCCACATTTTGAAATATGTTCCACAAGGAAGGAGTCGTAGGCGCGAAAACCTCCGGAAGGTACGAAAACCTCCGTTTTCTCGCGTTGATTCTGGCTTTGGGAAGACACGAGTTGTTGTCTTGTCGTGTCCTTGTGGAGCAGTAGTGTTTCGGCTCTTCTAAGAGCGTGTTAAAGCAAGTTGGACTGATTCGTGTAAGCTGTTGAAGGGTTTGTAAAAGGATGTGTTGGCGGATGGTATCATCTATGGGAATGATGTTAAGTTGTTTGAATAGGCTTAGGGATGGAACAAGATCATGGTACAATCATGACAGGACCTTGGTGAAAGGGGGCATGACAGGACCTTGGTGAAAGGTGGCATGACAGGACCTTGGTGAAAGGGGGCATGACAGGACCTTGGTGAAAGGAGACTTCAGTGGCGCAGTCATCAGAGCAAGCGTCTTTTACCTCTGAGATTGTGGGTTCGATTCTCGCTATGGACTCATGCGAAAAGATCGAGTCAGTCAATGCTCTGCCAAAAGTTATGTGTTTTCAACATTCTTTTACAGAAACATGAACATTATGGAATTAGGGGAGTAGTTCACAATTGGCTAAAGTCATAATTAGAGGAAATAATTTGTTTCAGTAGGACGTATTTCATCTGGGCGATTAAATATTTGTTGTGGTGTACCTCAATGTTCAGAACTTGGGCCTCTTCTATTTTTGCAATATATTAATGACATCCAAAATTCCACTAGTATTCTTGATATTCACCTATTTGCTGATGATTCATATTTGTTTTACGCTAATAAGAGTTTATTGACACTGGAAACCATTGTTAACAAACAAATTTCATATGTTCACCAATGGTTATGTGCAAACGAGTCATCACTCAATATAGAGAAGTCCAATTACACTATATTTCACCAAGTTAAAAAGAAAGTTAATTATCAAATGAAAGTTTCTCTCAATGGTCAATTACTTAAGCAAGATTTTTCAAAGGTTTCGATAAAGATAAAATGAAATATCGGAGCTATATCTCATAGACAGATTTTCATATTTTTTACTGGAGTGGTGCTAGAAACTTTAGGGGGTGAGCAGGTGAGGCACGACAAAGCGTCACTAAACCCCAGGGAGGTCTACACTCTAGGGGTGGACTGTGGAGGCGCGTGAGGGAGACTAGAGAGTAGAAAACAAAGTACCCCAACACCGCGGCATGTCCAAAACGTAGTATTATGCAAGAAAATGAACCAAAGGGTGACTCTCCATAAATTGATTCTTTGACTGAACTATACAAAATTCTTTAATTTTCTCGTTTCTTTACGTTCTAATAGATTATTATATTTTGTGCTAAACTTAGTAAAGCAATACTTTAATATTATCAAGTTTAAAAGCAAAGGGCTATGTGAAGGATGATCAAAGCTGAGGTAATAGAGTTTTAAAGCTTTATATTGCTCCAACAAACCAGTGATTCTGGTTTGTGTTGCACTGTCCTTTTCTGTTCGAGTGTACTCCTACATTTATTTTTTTATCATTCAACACTCTGCACGTTGAAGTGGACTATTTATTTATTACGAAGTGGCTATATCTACGGGCCCGTAAACAGACTTCGCCAGGCTATATTTACGGCACTCTCGTTCTTAGTCTCCCCACGCACGACATCTCGCACGTTTTTAAATCTAATCGCGGGAAATGCCGTACAAATACTACAATTAATATAGTGTAGTTTTTAAATATAGACATTTTCAATTTTTGGTTTCAATTCCTGGAAGAAAATCATCGTATTCTAGGTTTAAATTCTTCACTACATTTCAAGGTGCGTTTGAAATAAACACTATACTATCATCAAGTTAATATTTTAATTTATGTAGACTCAATGCGAACTGAAATACATGGTTCAAATACCGGTTCAAATATTTGCCCTACTGTGTGAATGTGTCTGTGTATAGATGTATTCACTTTCCTGTATACTTTACAGCTTAGTAGAAGATAGCAGTGATTGTATACCAAGGTATTCTCCTGAATTTCCATGGGTATCTAAATATACTGCCAGAGGGCTGCCATTATGCCATACTGCCAGAGGGCTGGCCATGTACTTTGAAGGGGTCTGTGGTTAAAATTGTCTGACTTATTTACAATAAAACTATTTGAATGGTACTCCAAATTTAAAGATGCGGTACAGTCCGTATGTAAACAAAGGCTTTGTTTATATTTCGGTATCCAAAATATTGAATTTTATCCGACAACTATTTATATTTTTATGATTCTAGAGTACCGGTATAATAAATTATCAAGACACAACAATCAAGCTTTGCAAGAACGTAAAATGAAATAAAAACCTAAATAAATTGTTTGTATAATAAAAGGGAGCTCCTTTGTATACATGCACAGATCGGACTGTACAGCATCTCTTGAGACATTTCTCCAACTAATATGCAATTACAGTCTTAACCCATAAAGCACCAGCTCTCTCCCCTTGATGATTAAAATATCTGGCGTTAGACAGAGTAAAATAATAAAGTAGGGCGCATTAGGGCGCAATGCGACTCAATGGGTTAAACACTTAATCAGGCCCTGCTAGACAGGGCAGGATTCTCGTAGTCCTTGCCCATTGTCAATTTTACAGTCTTTTAAAGGGGCCCTACAGTGAAAAATGTTGCATCAACCTGATCAATTTTTACGTATGTAGATACTGTCTAACAATGACAAAGAAAAACAAACATGACTGTAGGGCCCTTTATAGAAATTTATATACTATATGTTTTCACCCATTAAATAATACACATTATAAGATAGATAATAATAATAAGATTGATACTTTATTTAAATATGCTAACCCCATCAGCTAAAGCTGATTTCCATGGAGGGTGTGTTGCAGGGTCTTAGCTAGAGGGCCGTGTTGGCCGTGTTATCGCGGGCAAAAATGGGAAAACACGGCTAGATAAAATGAACGCGGCTTCATTATTTTTATAAGGCTGTGTAGGTTCATAAAATAAGGTGTTGCTACTTACAACAGACAGAATTTCTTTCTGTTTACGTCGTAAGAAAGTTTGTAAAATCTATTGTAATTTTTGAAATTGGCAAAAGTGATCCGTGATGTTTTAATGTTTTGATGGATAATGGGAACCATATGGTGTTAAAATGGCTTTAAATACCCCCAAGGGTTGCTAAAATAACTTACTATTTCCATGTCAGTATGCGATGTGAGCGTATGCTCGCCTTGTATTTGGTTGCAAAGCATACAACAACCACATGCATTGTCTGTTGTTGGCGAGCATAACTAATACCGTGAATTTGGCCATTCAAGGTAATTGACATGGGCACACCCTGGTAATTTAGAAACACGCCCAAGATCTAAAATCCTAGCTAAGACCCTGGTGTGTTGCAAGAATTTACAGATAATATTTACAAAATTACATAAGATATATTGCATTAAATAAGATTAAAGATATTAACTATTATACAGAAATCTATATTCAGCTTCCGAAAGGGCAGAATAATAAAATAACAATTAAAAGAAATATTGATGTGGCAACAAAAAATTATGCCTGCGAGGACGAGAAGCTACTATTTTTTACTTGGCCTTACAGGTACTTCGAATATCAATCAATGTCAGAAAGGGATTTGCTCTCCCTAACAGCCTAACTTGTTTTGGAATAGAATTCCAAAGGAGTGCTCCATCATAAATGAAAATTTTTATAATATTTGTATGCGATTGTGGCAGTGTTGTAACAGGTCGAGTCCCGAGTCAATGACTTGACTTGTTACAACACTGGATTGTGGTAAACAAAGACTGTTTGAAATATCACAGAGATGAAAATTTGTTTTCCCTTAAGTACCTTACTTTAATTGTTATTTTTACTCTGTCAAATGTTCAACTGTTATTATGTCCAGTGTTCTCCGAATGGCAGGTTCGACAAATCCAATACTGGGCGAACTTCAACCATCTCTTCTTCTGCTAATGCTCCACGGAGAGCAGATTCTACTTCTTTCCTTTCAAGAAAGCAGTTCAACAACACTAAAAGATTGATAAGAACTATAATTAGCATCTTGAAATGTATGAGAATTGCATTGACAAGTGGTCATCTGGTTGGCTGTATTTGGCTATAGATTTTCCATATAGGTTTAATAAAGTCCATTATTTTGATAGAAAAAATGTAAACAAAGCTTTCGCGAACAAATAGACTGGACCACTTCTTTAAGCTTAAGCATTAAGATTATAGTATAATTATACATTAAAACCTTCAATTTACCTCTTTCTTTTTCGGTAGGTGACTTTTTAATGAATGGTATTGCACCTGTAACCTTTCTCTTTTTGGGAAGACCAATGACAGTCAAACCAGCACCTTTAGGCCGCCCTCTCTTCAACATTCTTGGCGGCATTGTAATTGGGGTCTGGGTGTCTTTTTTCTTGTCTTCTATAAAAATAAATCAAAGACTGAGTATGGGATACTTATAAGTTATTCTATACATGGCAAAATTAATGCGATCTGATTCGCTAAGAGGAGTGCAATAAATCATTAATTGCACTCTACAGGAAAACAAAACAATAACATTCCAATTATGGTGGTGAAATTTCTTTCGTAAAATATATTTCGTGTTATATTGATCCCTGCTAATAACATGATATATACCACAATGTTTTTCAGTATACCTTCAGAGCTTGATTTATTTGAGGATTTCTTCTGGTGCAACTTGTTCCCATTGTCTTCATCATGAGGGAGCACTGTGGGACTTTCCTGGACCAGAACACAGTCTGTTTGTGTGCATACACTTACACATTCTACATAAGA